GATTGAGATCATGCATGCAAATTAAGAAGAAATGGGGATCGCTGGCAAAAGAAAACCAAACACCTCGCTTGCGTATAGGGATGTCGTTGGTCAACTGCAATATTCATGCGCGTTCGTTTCGTTTCAGTTCGTCTATGTACTTGCATATGTATCGTTGCACATTCGCTTTTTGGGGGGTGCATTGCCATCTACGTTGACTGACGAGGGTCAACATAGAGACAGGGAGTCGTTTCCATGTGTGATGGGTAATTCGAAAGACGACCATTATCAAGTCGGGTAGCATCTCCAGGGGGACATTGTGGGAAAGGTGTGTTGTCACATGTAGGAGATCCAGGGGATGAACGACTAGACAAGGTCTGGGAAAAGAAGATAAAAGAGAATATGTAAGGAGCGTGGGTCGCAAAAAATAGCGAATGGTTGCTGATTGGTGACAGCAGATATGGGGTTTCGGGTTGTTTTCAACTTTTTTGGGTGTATTTGGGTTTTTTTTTCGAGGTGAAACCCCGTTGGAAGAAAAGGAAATGGTGTGGTGAGTGAATGAATGATGAAACTGTGCTGGTTTCACCGAGTAAAATGGGCCAGAACCACACACACAAGGTGGTTGTTGATACAAGACCAACGAGGTCAATGTTCGTAGGCAGGTAACCAACAGCCAGATATCGATGTACTGTGTGCGGATTTCGACCAAATGGAAAGTGGAAAGACCCATCACTTTGTTTTTGTTTTTTGTTTTTTTGTCGTTGGGGTTTCAGTATTGTGATGTTGAAGGTTGAGCGTGAGGAAAACATCTCAAACGTATCGTTACAGTCGTGGATGGTGTTGCTGTCGTAAAAAAAAAGGCTGGAAATGCAAGGGCCGTACCAGGGCCATGTCGGTATCTCGTTCAAGTCATAATGCAAAGGGGATAAAATCTCGCAGAAATCGACGCCACGATGAAACGGATACTTAGGAATTCGACAGCAAAAACGGTTGCAACTTAATTGCGTGTGAAAGGCATATTCAATATTTGCCGGCGGATGCGCTCAGCATCAGAAAGGCCGTCCTCTGAAGCATTGTATGGCAAAGTATCCGGTGCTTTATCATGTACTTGAGCCGGAGAAACCTGCATGGGAGAAGTACTGTCATCAGGTCTGACATAAGAAGGACCACCGCTCGAGAATGGGTCAGACAGTGCAGGTGCTTGTCTGAGGACTCGCTTCGGGGCTTCGCGACGCTTGTGTCCTCCTTCGATCCGGAAGGGTGAGCCAAGTCGTTTAATGTTTTCGCCAAGGTCCAATAATGGGTTCATAGGGGGTTTCGGGATGGGTGTCGTCTCTTCGGGTTCAATTGGGCCTGAGTTGAGGGACGAGGGTGGAGAAAAGAGTTGGTCCATATCTCTAGGATTGACAGCGCTAGTGGTAGCTCCACGGTTACGAATGCGGACCCGACCATGGCCCATGTCTTGGAATTTGTTTTCACGAACATAGTCCTCCAAGCGACGTTCAACTTCTTGGTCGGAAGGATTCTTCTGTTCCCTGGATACGCTCGCGAAGACATCGTCAGTACCAGGCAAAGACTGGTCGAAGTACGTGTTCCGTCGGGCACGGTAGCCCGGAACATGAACGGTCCCACGTCGGGCAGTGGGATCATGAACCTGGCGATTTGATCCACCGGGCCCCCATGTGCTGTACACGAACGGAGATCCCAGACGAGGTATGCTAGGAGCAGATTCCACACGAAGATGCTGACTGGGAGTCTTGGCCACTGGTGGCTCGACATGAGCAGACACTGGGTTGTTAAACCAATCCGTCGTCTGCGGCAAGTCTTGTGTAACTTGAGAAAGCCGAGTCGGTTCGGATGGTGTGACAAGAGAAACGCCGAGGTCACGAGTAGTGTAGGCCGAATTATCAGCGAAGTCTTTGACGCGGGTATCCGTAGGAGGGCCGAACATCTCCGCGACAGGCTCGGGAGTGCGAGACTGCATGATCCGCTGATAGTGGGGAGAAATTGAAAATTTGCGTCGACATAACATTTTGAGGCGTCGTCGGGTCTTGGAGTCAGACTTGGGCCAGGCTGGCTGCGACCCTTCGTCCATAGCCTTGGGTGTAGAAATTTCAATGGGTTCAACAGACTTCATCGAGACAGATTCAATAATACGACTGCTCTTTTGAGACCATGTCTTCTTGGCGCGTCTCGCAACACGCGATGTGACTCCTAGAGGGGGGATGCTGCCAGGTGTCATTTTGAATGGGGTCATAGTAGGATCCTGGAGGTAAATTTGATAGGTATTCCACAAGTGGGTATCCATCTCACGAGTCCAGGACTTCTTGGACACTTTGATATTTGCCGACTGTTTCTGAGGTCGCGAAGGCGACTCGATCTCAGGTTCTTTAGACATCTCCAAGGGGAAGTATGAGTCAAACAAATCGCTCTCGACACTGGTGAAACTTCCTACAGATGGTCGCGATGCGAAAGTTTCAATGGATTCAATTGAAGAATTTGACAAGGTCGAACAGACTGAGTCTGGGCGCTTGATGCTGTTTGGGCCAGGTGTCTGATCCCACGATGGCCACGGGTTACCCGTGTCGCAGGAATCAAAAGGTGTGCCGCGGATCTGCGCAGGTGGCGTCTTAAAATCCATTCGCGTGCGAGGAGGCGCGAGATATCCCTCATCATTGGCGAAATCACGGAATGAAGGCGCCTCTAATTCAGTCGATTGGGGCACTTCAATCGAAGGCAGTGGAACATCGGAGCCGTGGAATTGGAACATGTCCATGTCCATGCGAGCGCAGACATTAGTACCAGCGCGAGCCCGAACTCTAGGTAGACGGCCACTAGATATTGAGTGACGAGGTGGCGGGGGTACATTCATAGTGGTGCGAGGGCGCTCGGGAGTCTTGGGTTCGTTGTCGCCGAGAGAGAACGTGAAGTTCTTGGGAAGAGTGCGCGAAAGTTGACGTTGAGCCATACTGGCAATCTTGCAGTCTTGCGAACCGCAGAATGTGGGTCAATGCGACTTCTAGGAAGAACTCGAGGACGTGTCGGGGGTGGGAGTTGAGAGAAGATGAGTACGGCGCGAATTCGAGTCGAAGCGCGCAGCGTCGCGTCAATGTCGTGAATCGTGAAGGGCAGAAAAAGGAAGGAAAAAAAGTGCAACGAGAGCAAGAGATGTAGGAGTAACGTGAAAATAGAAGGGAAAAAAAAACCGAGGTCTCGGTCGTGGTGTGCTTCCTGAGGAATGCGGCAACTTGAAATCGGGGATCACCAGATCACATCTGCGGCTCCATCCCGTTCGAGTAGTAGGGAATGAAGGATTTCGTCATTACCCGAAAAAAAATAACACACAAAAGAAAAGAACTTCCTCCTCAAACGGAGAAAGAGTGCGAGAAAATATCTCGCGATAATGGTGGAAAGGGTTGGTAGAGAGAGGGAGAGAGAGAGAGAAGGAAGAAGAGGAAGAAGATGGGGGATTGGGCGTAGGGTGAGGCGGGAGTGGGAGGGGGGTACTTGGTACCTGCGCTCCCCGTGGTGAACTGCCTACTAAACTTGGTACCCTATACTTAGTGGACTTGGCCCACTGCGAAAATCTTATGCGTTGTTAACTACGGAATTTAAAAAAAAATTAGTATTATTATAACAGTCTCAAGTATGAAGTCTTCAATTGATTCTCTCATTTCTCTCTCTTCTTTACAGAGTTTTTTGTTTGGATTTTCCTCAAGTCTTTCCTATATAGAATGACTGTGGACACATCCGGGCCTTGCTTGATGCATGCACTGTGGACAAATAATTTAATCACAGGACTGTGAAGCGAACCGCCTTGGGAGGTAAGGACACCTGGAGCAAAGAAGGTGCTTTTCTAGCTCTAGGGTTTGTAGGTATTAATAACTATAGGCTGTACGGAGTACAGCTTACAGCTTACTCTGTACTCCGTGTTGTAGACTTGATAAATGAGGGGGGCTGGTGTTTGAGATCAGGTACCATGTATGGAGTACTCAGTCCTATGTATCGTAGATCGAGTCTCCATCTTCAAGACATTGTCTCCAGCCGCTCACTTCATAGCTGCAAGGGCTTGTACAGAACAGAACGGAGAACGGTCAGCCTGCGTATAGAAGTGCAGCTGATGGTCGTCTGCACTGATATTCTTGAGCTCATTTTTCCTCTTTTTTTTAAACTTCCAATCACATAGCTGTAGTCAAGCCTTGAAAAGTAAAGGTTCCTTTCATAGTGAATTAGTTTGTTGCGTTCAAAGAAACGGAAAACCACCTTGGTACGGGTACCTGAGTACCGTAGATCAGCGGTCACATTTTCTCATTGTGCGGTCTGGATCTCTGGAGCCCTGGAGCCCGAGCTACCCAAAGAGACAGGGCCAAACAAGACCCATATAACCCCATTGGGGTGGTGGAGGCGTGGAGGCGTTGCGGTTGGAGAAGCTTCACGTTCATCTTTCTCCACTGACGCGTGACGCGTTCAACACACGTGTTGAAATATTACTGTATATTGACTGTGTACTGACTGTATAATTACCAGTCACGTGGTATCTTATACTGTGAACCCTAAAAGGGATCGACTTTATATATGTGGATATGTATACGGAGTATGTATATATGAATGCTACAGACTACGGAGTATATGGGTGACTTAAGGCACTGTTAAACATTCTACATTGAAATTTGGGTTCTGAATTATCCGATTCAGAGATCCATTCTCAACAGATTTAGTACTCCGTACTCCGTACCAAGGTCTCATCTCGCTTACAATGGATAGCCACAGTATACCCGCAGAACTGTGGGCCAGATGCCAATCAACTCCACTTTCGAGGAGCCAAGTTATATCTACCTCGAATACTTGAACTTGACCTTTTTCAAACTCGATAAGATTCAAATGGGTCCAACAAAAATCCAGCTTATCCCACAACATGTAAGTCACATCATATTGCCGTGGTGACAAAACCCCACAAAACGTAGCGAGTATCCAATATGTATAGAACACAGAGGGGGGAGATCGTTGCTTACATCCATCCACTACTCTCCTAGGAAACCTAGGTCAACCTCTGACTTACGGGACCGAAACAGAATCTGAACTCGTGGGTCGGTGATAGACTCAACCCCGTTTTCAATGTTTGGAGGTCGACCACCGCTCTGTAGTTTCCAATCGTACTTCAGAAGCAAATGAAGGAGCATGATTTTGGTTTCACTGGCAGCGAAGAACCGGCCCGGGCAGGCATGAACACCATGGCCGAAGACGAAGTGCTCACTTGTCGTCGCGACAAACTGATGCTTGTGTTCGTTGCCAGGCTGCTTGCGTTTGTTGTAAAACCGGTAACCATCATAACTGGCAGCATTAGGGTAGATAGTGTCATCTTCCAGTATTTTCGTAGAAACGAACATGTTGGCGCCTTTAGGGATCACAGTTCCATCAGAGAGCACAATTTGCTTAAGGGCGAGGCGGTTCATGGAGGCTGTTGTAAAGTGTCAACAAGTCATTCTTTCAATAAAGAATGGGGGGAAATTGGGTTAAATGAATAAAAAGAATCGAATAAATATCAAAAGAGTACCGAAAGAACGTGGGTAACTTACTCAAGGAGAGTGGGTTAGTACGCTGCGATTCCTTCATCACACTGTCCATCAACTTCAACTTGAGCAAACTAGTCTTCTTCAGAGTTCCATCCTCAGCAGCAACCGCACAAATCTCATCACGTAGCGGCTGGATATACTCCGTGTACGCCGCGAGGTCATATATGACGTTGGTTAACAAGTTTGACGTAGTATGGATAGCCGCCAGTGCCAATCCAACCTGTGCGCAAGACTGATCAAAAGTCATGTTATTCCGGGCTTCGGCGGTTTCACGATACCAGTCCAAAGCATCAGGTTCACGGGGTGGATCATCTGCAGGGAGCCTGCCCGCGCGGATCAACGCTCGCCTGTCTATCTCGCCACTAACGATGGAGCGAGCCATTTCCAAGTGTGTGCGTAACTTCTGGGCAGAGGGCAGGAACCAGTGGACGATTGGATGAAGAATGGATGGCCATTCTCGTAGATCGCGCATAGCCATAAACGCATCGATGGCATAGTTCACGGAGACATCAATCCACTCATCGTCGTGGGAGATGGTCTCTCCAACAAATATCAAAGAGGAGAGGCGGGCGACCATGTACGGTATCTTGTGCGCGATGTGGTAAGGCTTCCATTCTGGCAGAATCAGAAGTGTCAGTGGGAGGATTTTATGCAAATGGGGTGCTTAAGCATACCATCGGTGGGGGGCAAGTGTTCGTTCAATATCGCACCTGACTCTTTTGAGAGCCGAAGTGAAATGGACCCTATGTAAATGGGAAAGATAAGTCAATTGTGTCGGTTGGGTGAGATCTGAGGTATATATATAAAGACATACCGAGCGCCTGTGTCAAACTGGTCCGCACGATTTCCACAGTAGCTTTCAAAGCAGTACCATTATGAAATGGTCCAAATCCAGGAATGCGATCATTAAAAAATGTCTATACGCAAGTTAGCCATGGTCACCAATTATTTACAGCTTCATAGCCTGCCTTTTTGATCGAGTCATCAAAACTTAGGTCTGGGTTGCTCTTGATTTCATCGACAAACTTCGGGTGCAATACAACTATCGGGCTTGTGGCTCCGATGATCTGAAAGACATTGACTCCCTGCGAAGGTCTATTAGCATATTTGAGGGCAGAGAATGCTGTCATTGACCTCTGTTGAGGCTCACCTTTGCAAAGCCTTCGGTAATAAGTTGACGACATGACCGAGTGAAGCGTTGCCGGGCCTTTTTGTTGGTAAGCTCCCACCAGGTCTTTCCAACTAAAGGAATGTGCCTATGTGGAACCCCGTTTGCTATATCTGCCCATACACTTGTTATGAACACCGCCATTAGGGCGATACACACACTCTGTACAACATAGGGAGTATTAAGCAATTCAGTGATGACTGCCATAGTCAAGGTCAAACCCAAGGCTGAAAAAGGGAAGAGGGGACAAGAGAAGCGACACCCTAAATTTCCAAGACCTGATATTCTCCGAGGACTTACTCATTTATAATAGTTACCGAGCCACCGGCCAGTCAGGAAAACTCCATTTCTCCCCCAACCGACCTTAGACTGGATATTCAAACCAGTGGGGCCCACGTAGGGTATCAAATGCTGTCCAGTTGAACCAAACCGAGCCAAAGCCAATCGCTGGAAAGTTACAGGTCCAATAAATTCTAAGCGAGCAATTCTATTCATCCAGAATGTCAAAGCTTCGATCAACAATATTCTTGGCCTACATCGATGTATACCTAGCCTGAAATGCGAGAACGAGAGCCAAATTAAGCGATCCTTACCCGAACAGGCAATTCTTGAATGGGGGTTTCTATTTCACCTGGATCCACTTGCATATGCAGATGTTTTCCAATTTATAAGCGTTCCAATGATAATAGAGGCCTGCAAATCCTGCAAGTTGAACGGTAGAATCATTGAAGGGGAAACCAGCTCTGTACTCCGTAGTACAAGGATAAGAAAGCCTCGGTAGCCTAACACCAGAAAAGTTCATTTTTGGGGAGGAACAGATGAAAACCTAACAAGTAACACTAACAAAAATATTTCACATCTAATAGCTAACAAGCTAACTAGCTAACTAGCTACTAGCTAACTAGCTACTAGATATCATACATAAGCCTCAAATAATATAAAGCCCCTAACTGGTCACCTATATATATATAGCTTAACGGAATTAGGTTAGTAAGATCCATGGGTTGCATCCCGCCAAGACCCCGCATTCGTCTGAGTGTCTTCCAGGGTTCACTTCCCCGCTTCGCAATTCATCTTCTTCTCAACTTCACCTCAAGAATAACCGTGAATATGGGTGATTCCGGGGCTAATGCTCCACATATACTCTCCACTCCAGTCGGCAACAGTCCGCCACAGCCCTCGGCCTCGCCTAATGAGATATCCGTCCTAATAACAGGCTTTGGGGTAAGTGATCTGCACTTCGGATGCTGCTAGTATCCGACCCGAAACTAACTGTGTAACTAGCCCTTCAAGACCAACCTTGTGAATGCGTCATATCTGATCGCTTCCTCCCTTCCATCATCTTTCCTTTTCCCATCACCTAAAGGCCACGACTCGGACCCACGTCGCGTTTCACTCCATGTGCATCCCACTCCGATCCAAGTGGCATACGCCACTGTTCGAGAGGCTCTTCCGTTGATGCTGGAGGAGTTTGCGGCCTCTCACGGTGGCCGCAGACCCGATCTCATTATTCATATCGGCATTGCAGCTCCACGGCAATATTACTCCGTTGAAAGTTTAGCTCATCGAGATGACTATAAAATCACCGATGTCAATGGTCTCCCCGGTTATGTAGACGGCGAGAAGCGATGGAAAGAGCTGGGTCTGCCACCGATACTCACACCAGGGCGCGCTGCAGATGATCCCTCCTCTTCTTCGCCCTACCAACCCGACAACCAGTTCCTGGAGACGTGGCGTTCGTTTGCTCCCGAGTCGGATCTCCGGATCTCTCAAGATGCGGGCCACTACCTGTGTGACTTCATTTTCTACACCAGCATGTCTTTGGCCCAATTACAGGGCCAGGACCGCAATGTTCTGTTCCTCCATGTCCCTGGGGCATCTGACGATGCGAATATCGAGCAAGGTCAGATCGTCACACTTGCCCTAATTAAGGCAATGGTCGCGTGTTGGCTTGATAAAAAGCATCCGGCATAACCAGATCGCATCACGGTCAACTTTATCTTAGGCATATACCCCCTTCAGGTGGCCTACCTAGGTACATGTTGTTGGTCTTGTTTTATATCCAGTATTTGGCTTCAAGGATTGCTTTTCCTGGACTTGTCTGCATTTCTAGTTTCCTTTCCCTTGGGTTTTTGTGGGTTTCATATATGCAAGGTGTTTGCATGTGGTATTTCCTACGTACCATGTGTCTAATTCATACCTCTGGGTTTTTCTATTATTGGACCTAAGGCAACTACCATATATAAAATAGCAGGATAAGGCACAACATATCAACAACGCACTTTAATAACAAACTGAATGTGCCACATCCCCTTACTCAAAGCACCTCAAAACTAGGAGTCATAACATCATATGAAAGGCGGCATCCCATGGCAAAATTGACTTATCACTTCCAGGACTGTATAACCCGAACATCTTCCCAAAGTAGCAAACATGCTTCAGTCGCACAACATGGCATCAGCGGTAATATTAGGCCTCATAATCCTAATTCCAATTCTCCTGATTACTCGCTTCACAGGATGGCCCAACTCAGCCCAATCGCCAACCAAACTTCTCCGCATATGGCCCCGCCCGAAACAATCCAGCGAGATCATCTCGTTGCGCATGTACCCCATTAAATCTTGTCGTGGCCTAGAAGTCCAATCAACATTCCTAAAAAAGCATGGTCTTGATCTCGACCGCCGCTGGATGCTCATCGACTCATCTTCAAATACTTTCATAACAATCCGCCAAATCCCCGATATGACACGCATCCGCACCGCCCTAAGTGTCGACGGCGACGAGTTGGTCGTGAGTATCCCAAATCCCGAAGCAAATGAATCCAGCCAAGGCCAAGGCAAAGACCAAGACAATCAATTCCACACAATCCGCATCCCTTCCCATCCATCCCCGCAATGGCTAGCGGAAAATACAAATTTGGGCCCCGCCCACATCTGGGACACGGAGACAGACGGATACAGGTATAGCGATGAAATCAATGCCCCCTTCTCTGCCTTCCTGCAACGTGATGTCGCCCTCGTCTACAAGGGCCCAACCCCACGCGTGCTGAAGGGTAACGGCGCTCCACGTCGTCTCGGCCGTGTCCAGACTACCGGTTTTCCGGATGTGCACCCGGTATTGATTGCGTCGGAATCTTCACTAGCAGAGCTCAATGTTCGTCTGGGAAAGGTGGGTGTGGACCCGATTACTGTCGAGCGGTTCCGTCCGAATATCGTTGTTCGCGGAGGCGCGCCATGGAGTGAGGATTCGTGGAAGTTGGTTCGCATTACTGGTCGGGAGCCGAGCGGTATTTCTGGTGATTCTTCTGGTTATGGCAAGGCTGTTATCCAGTCGCCGCTTGATCTAGATATTGTGGCTCGCTGTGCGCGCTGCCAGGTGCCTAATGTCGATCCAACTACGGCGCTCAAGAACAAGAAGCAGCCGTGGGATACGCTTGTTTCGTACCGTAGGGTCGACGAGGGGATTAAATACAAGCCTTGTTTCGGGATGTTGAGTGCGCCGCGTAATGAGGGCGCTATTGAGGTTGGGATGAAGCTGGAGGTTTTGGAGGAGACGACTAAACATCGATACCTTACTGGTTTTTAGAGGGGGAGAAGGAGGAGGTTTGTTCAATGGATCATTACGATCTGAATAGAATATGGCAATGTAAGATTAGATGTTGAATGGCGTGAAAAATATATATATATATATATATATATCTATTTCCCACACTGCATTCTCCACTCTCCTTGATATATTTTAGAAAAATGTCCATGGGCATCTCTTTTCCAACTCGATACTAACACGCAACAAGAAATAGTGTATGACTCTAGGCATCTTCGTTCGAAATCCAGAATGTCCCGCAGAAAGTTGAATATAGGCTAGACGAACACGCCATCCTCAAGTAGTGCATGAATGACACTGCACATAGGCCCATATATGCGATAGATCCGATTCAAAAAGTAAGGTGGTAGACTACATGAAACCGTTGAATAAACATGATAATGACATTGATGACATTGACATTGAAAACTAGCGACATATCATACTCGCAATCTCTATACAAAAGAACCCATCCTCACTTCAACTGTTTGCTTGCAGAAACACACCAGTTATTCCACTCCGAAAAGAACGACGGCTGCACATGACACTTGGTGCTCATAAGTTGATCCTTACGAGTAGCAGCATAAACATCCACAACACCCGCAATAGAATCCTTATCATGCGCAACAAGAACCTTGGTAACAAGCAAACTAGCCTGGCTGCAAGCAGTCGCATGGCCCATAGGCCCACTGTGGCTAGCCTCCTTATGAACAGATCGGAGCAGCTCCCAGAGCGCCTCCGCCTGTGCATCATCCTCGATCTTCGGGAGCGAGTTGCCCTTGCACACCTTCGTGTACTCGCGCAGCACTCCGTTGGCCTTGGTGGCGATCTGCTTCACGCTGGTCCGACGAGAGAGTCGGAGCAACGGCAGGAGGATATCCAGGGCGAGGGGCCGGGTGTGGCTCTTCTTTACAAAGATCTCTAGCAGGTCCAAAACACGGTTCTTGAAGTTCACCATGTTCTCGCGTGCGTCTTTCTTGTCTTTGCGGTGGGAGGTTTCTTGGCGACGCGCACGGAATACTTGCACCAGTTTGTCGTCTAGTTCGTCCATCTCATCGTCGTTCATGTCGGCATCGGAGTCCGACTCATTTTCGTCTGCGCGGTGGGAGCCGAGAGCTGCGGCTAGTTTGGCTTCGAAGGCGGCGACTTCCTGTGCGTCTTCTTCGTTATCTTCTTCTTCTCCCTCCTCCTCGTCGTCGTCCGAGTCGGAGCCGGAGCCGCCGGCTTCAACGACCTCAACATCGCTGTCAAGCTCATCCTCGTCGACATCCATCATCTCCTCATCATCATCTTCTCCTTCTTCCTCGCCTTCGTCGTCTTGCTCTTCGAACATCTCTTGCTGTCCGGCAAGACTCTCCTTGGCCTCGAGAATCTAGATCTAGTTAGAAAATGCAAGTCGGTTAAAGGTTGAGGCAACATACCGAGGTCAAAGATTCCAATCCGTTCTCGGTGATCTGGTTGGCAAATGCACCAAACACCTGCTCACTCATACGACGGAAAAGCTGCGATTGCTTAGATGCGAAACTGAGAAGGATCTCAACCAACGCATCCGAGGCATCGCCGGCATCTTCCGTTTTGGTCTCCTTGTCGCCCAGGAACTTGGTGTAGCAGAACTCCAGCTCATCAAGCATGGATACCGCGTCTGCGTCTCCATTGTACACCTGCATGATAGTCATAGAGTAAAGCAGCTTAAATGCGGCCATGCCCTTCTCTTTCTTCTCCTATGTGGTAGTCAGTATAAGTGGTCAAAAGATCGACGCAGGGGGGGGGGATCATACCCTGCTGGACAGCTTCTTCAGAGATTTGAAAGCAGCCTTCACTGATTCTGACAGCTTCTCATCGATAGCAATGATGAACTTGCCGAATTCACCGGACTTGGCTGCATCGCGAATCTGCTTGACCACAGCATATGGGAGCGTAGCAGCGAACTTTTGGTTGGAAATAAGGCTGTTCAAGCAGGAGTTAATTCGATTGCGCAGGAGTTCTTGTGTTGCTGATGAGAGAGGAGGCTCAGGGGCAGTGGAGCCCTTGCCGGTATCCATGAAGTATGCAAAGCGCACGAAAATGGACAGAATCTGCTCAAGGCTTGCTTGGAGGTCTTCAGCATCATCTTCATCGGCAGAAGCCTTGGACCGCACAATTGTCAACAGGAGACCAGCGACAAATTGACGGTTGGATGCGGCGGTTTTCTCCTCGGTTGTGCCGGGGGTCTGAATGAGTTGTTCGAAGAATGGGACAATCTCTTCCAATGCCTCGAAGTTGGCTTCGGCAACAATCTTCTCAACCGTCTTGGTCTTTGTGGCCTGGTCGAAATTCAGCGTGCCGCTAGTTCCCATCAAGCCACGGATGGCCGCAGCTGCGAATTCGGGTTCCTTGGACACGCGGGCCTGGATTGCCTTGGCCACTTTAACGGCCATTCGGTGCAAGTACCGGTCCTCCACGGCAAGCTGGTTCGTCAAGCATCGCATAAGATTCTTGGTGAAAATCTGAGAGGCTTGCTGCGGTGCACCATCGTTGAGAATTCTGTTGAAAAGAAGGAAGCCCCAGTATTTGCGCTCGTCCGAGGACGCAGCAGCAAACAATCCATCTATAAAGAGTATTTTTTGTCAGTTCCATATGTATCATGTATCAGCCCATCGCTAGATAGGTACTCACTGTCCACAACCTCAGTCCAGAAATCAGCGAAGGTCATACGAGACTTCTTCGACTTATCCTTAACCTCAACACTGGTCCGAGACAAAACTGCATCCCAGGCGAAGTGAAGCTTGTTGTTCCAGACGCCAGATGACTTGGCAGTGTTCACCTTGGTCTCACCGTCGCTGGCCGCAGCACCCGATTCCTTCATGATCTTCGACAAGCTGCTGCGCTCCTTCGTATCCAGGGGATCATCATGCTTCCAGACCTTGCTCGGGAAGGTAGCATTGGGGAACATATCCTTCGTCGCCAACCAGATAGCAACACCCTCGGGCGACCGGGCGAGGTCGCGCACGCAGAGCTGTTCCAGCGCAGACTGTATGTACTTGGGTTCCATCTTACGTGCGGCCAAATCGTAGACACACTGGTAAATAATCCACCCACACTCTTCACGGATCCATGGCTTCTTCTGTGCAAGCTCGAAAACAAGATCGACGACCTGGGTCCATTGCTCGAAGGGCACGGTGGGCTGGAACAGAACGGAGGATTTGATGATCGCTTCAGCGCCAAAAAGACGGCCGAAAAGGTGGTCGCGTTGTTCCTATATGAAACGAAAGGATACCCCAATTAGCGCATGCGACGTTTTTAAGTCATGTGTGGCCACCAACCTGTCCCGACTCGCTGCCGTAGGAACTGGACTGAGACTCCCAGAGGTTCAGCGCATCCGAGAAAGTGAAGCGTGATGTCTCTCTCGGCGA